GAGGGGGCCTGGCGTGGCCCCTACTCGGTAGGGAAATGGGTAGGGTGGGGGGAGGGAAAGCATCGAATACAGCATCTTCTCAGAAAACAAAACGCTCTTGTGTTTTCCTCTTGCCCATCAGGGTGGGAGAGGGCTGGGCCCAGGGTTCACGTCGCTGTCCTGCAGCTGTCAGGCCTCTGATGGACATTCCAGGGACCCTCCACCCTTCACCGCCTGGGGGGTGGGGTCAGCCCTCCCTGGGCTGTGGTTTACTTGAAGGGGCGCACATGGTTCCTGTCTGAGGAGCATTTTCTGAGCACTAGATTCATGGAAGTTGGTGGTTTCAGTTGAGAAAGGATGGTGGACACAGGATGGCTGGGTAAACAGTGGAGAGAAACTGAGGTGTGGCTTATTCTAAAAGAGCATATAGGGACTTCCTGGGTGGTCCAGTGATTAAGAATCCACCTTACAACGCAGGGGACGCGGGTTCGATCCCTAAGATCCCACATGCCACGGGGCAACTAAGCCCGTGTGCTGCAACTAGTGAGCCCACGGGCTCTGGAGCCCGTGTGCCACAACTAGAGAGCAGCCTGCGCGCTGCAACTAGAGAAGCCTGTGCACCGCAATGAAGATCCTGCGTGCCACAACTAAGACCCGACGCAGCCAAATAAATAAATAAAATGTTAAAATAAATAAATAAAAATAAAAGAGCAGACAATATAAAAGTCATTTCTGTTTGAGCTGGGGGTGCCCTGTTGCTGCTTTACAGGTACAAAGGTACTGTCCTAGTCATATTTGGCCTAGGCAGAGATCAAAATTAGTTTGTATTCCTTAAACTCATGCCCAAGAGAAGGTGCTGCTATGAAAGCTGGGGCAGCCTATAGTAGGTTCTCAAAAAGCACCATGCGTACACACACCAATCCAGAAATGACTCGTCTGCCACTGATGCAGCAGATGGTAATTAGCCCAAGGCCCTCGGCCGGGAAATTTGACTCAGCAGGACCCAGAGGAGAGGGAACGACTTAAAAGCCTCTTCTCCCTCCGGGCTAGGGCTTGCTCCTTTGAGCCGTTCCTAGGACACGGAGGGAGAGAGCAGCCCAGGTGCTCGAGCCTCCCCAGCTGAAGACGTAAAGACTGACTCACAGTGGATTTGCAGAAACCTTTATAAAGAGAAATCATTCCATCCCACAGAAAGGGAAAACAGGCCTGGAGCAGAGCGGAGGAATGGGGTGGGGTCAGAACCAAAGTCCTTAAGCTGGGCAGGCCCAGCCTTCGGTATGCATGCCTGAGGTACAGGAGATGCTGCCAGGAGGAAGGTGGGTGGTACCCCAGTCCGAGCTCAGGACACCAGACCGAGATGAGTTCACTTAAGCTGGTAAAAGGGCCCATCTTTGTTCCAGGGTCGAGGGTAGGAAGCAAGGGTATCTACGTTTCCCTTCCAGGAGCTCTCCCAGGGGCTGTGGACTGTGCCCATCAGCCTGGCAGATCAGCGGGCGAGAGAGCAGGAAGCAGTGGCCGGCCCAGAACCTGTAGGGAAGCAGAGAGATGGTGAGGAGTGCAGGTCAGACCAGTGCCTCAGGCTTAAGTGTCCCATGATTGCCCTGGCAGGCTTCTCAGGATGCAGGTACGGGTTCAGATCTGAATCTGAAGTGGGGCCTGAGGCTCTGCACTGCCGGCCAGTTCCCAGTGGTTTTGTTGACGCTGCTGGCCCATGGACCACGATTGGAGCTGTATGGGCTGCTGGACAGTGCCAAAGAGAAAACCCACATCTCCCTCTTCCCCCTACTAACCACAGCCTCCACCCAGCCCAGGCTGGAGAGAAGCCCAGCCTAAGAAGAGAGAGCACAAGGGGACCTTGGGGAGTCCCAAGCCAAGCTCTTCTCCAAGAGCCCGTCCCTGCACCAGGTCTATATTCTTCCCCTTTTGCTTGGCAAGGCTCTCGCTCTCCCAGCCCAAACCCCCAGAGGTGAGAAAGGCCACCTGGGGACCTCCCATCCTCCCTCACCTGCCTTCTAGGCTGTGTTCAGAGAGGGGTCCTTGAGGTCCTGGCAGCCAGGAACCCAGTCTTATGTGCCCCGAAGGCCGTGATGAAGACGTTGATGACGACGGTGATGAAGACCAAGGTGGTGGCTGCATTGTTGAGCTGGTTTAGTCGCCACTGCTTTTCTACCTCGTTGAGGTTCAGTCGAGCTGTGGAGAAGGGGGAGTGGCAGGTAAGTGTCTTTCGGGGGGTGGTGGCCACAGCCTGGAGCTTCCCCCACCACAGCTGCTAGAGTCCAGAGAAAGTCTGGTCCCTCAGAGATCCAGGGAGGTGGCAGCCATTGTACTGAGATGCTTTCTCCCCAGCTGACCAGTGTGGGCTATCCATGTGGTACTCAACAGAGCCGGGATTTGCAAAGTTATACTGGGTCTTCTAAGAGTAGGGATGCACGCTCGCACAAGAGGCTCAAAGGAACGCTGCTATGAGGTAGTGAGCATAGTCATTCAGCAGGTATTATGGGGTGGCCACTAGATGGGATACCAGGAGGTGGGACAGGGTGCCTGCCTGCACTGTGTGGTTGTTACTTGGGCATTTGAAGGTGCACAGGGCTAACAGCAGGTTATGGCTGAGAAGGTGGCCTGTGCAAATGCAGGGTGTGACAGGGAGGCACTTGGGGCTTTTCTTCCCACCGGGGGGGCACCCCCAACCCCGAGGCCAACTCTAGGCCTGGGCTCCTCACCAATGACCATGAGGAGGATTCCAATGACCACCTGCAGAAGCAGAGAGATGCTGATGAGGGTGACGAGGGTGGTGTAGTGATGAGAGGACGGCCCCTGCTCTAGCACCGCTTTCAGCTGCGTGGCGTTAGACACAAAGAGGGCCACGTCCAGCATGCTCTCTGCCACGCTCTTCTTGGTGGCATAGTGGTTCAGGTTGATGGGCGGGCTCCTCCTGGGGCTGGCGTTCCCAGGCTGTAGGGGACAAAACACAGGCTTACCTGAGAGGCTCCGGAAAGAAAGTGGTTGAGAGGCTGGGAAGAGGAGTGGGGTTTTAAAGGTCTCCCCTCACCAGGTGGGAAACGAGGGCAGGTAACCCCCTCCTCGGTGCTGTGGTCTGAAGGAATAAAGAGGGGGTCTAGAAAACCCTTACATGCGTTTGAACTTGGAAATGATGCTGTGTTGTAATTTCTATTTCATGGAGGGTCACTCTGCCTCACACCTTCACACATCGAAAGGGCGGAGCCTGGGCTGCCTGTAAACGAGCAGTCCTCATTTTATTCGCCATTTTACCTGGGCCAGGCCTGGCCTTGGGCGGCTCTTTTCCTCCAAGAGGAAAGCGTCTCAGTTCTGAGGCCTGGCTGGAGAAGGAAGAGGCACCGCTTCTTCCAGAACGATGCGGCCCCGAGGTGGGGTGCAGAGCTTCACAAATGGAACAGGAGCTGCCTGTGGGTCCCACTCGGCCCTCCCGGGATGCTCTGGAGCCGCAGCCCTGCTCGGGCACATGTCTGTGTGCCCACATGCACGCACACAGCAAAACATACTGGCCCAAAGCTCTTCGTTTGTTTTTGTATTACTTTTTGGTGAGAATTTATTGAAGCATAATTTACATTTGATTTGATTTTGAAATATTAAAACGAAGCTCTTCTTGAGAAGTCACTCACTCTAAAAGACAGAGTCACGATGCAGTGCCTGTGGTGTGGGCCTCTGCACTGGACCAAGAAATTCAGACTGGATGGTGCAGGCAACCCTGCAGTCACTCAAGAGAACCTGGGCAGGTTTTAGGGAGATTCATTTAGTATGGCGCTTGGGATGCAGCGGCTCATGAGGGCTCAGAGACAGGGAGACCCATTGAAAGGTTATGGTATTGATTTAGGGTCAGGCTGTCAAGGAAACGAAGGAGAATGGGGGTGAGAAAGGAGAGGAAGGGAGGTCTCGGAGATGTTACAGCCTGGAAGGGATGTCTGTTGAGCGGGCGGGTGCGCGGGTGGTTGGATGGGGCAGGTCTCAGAGAGTTCTGCTTGCCCCTTTTGGATTCTGGGCTTGTCTGGAGCTGGCTGGCCTGGTTGGTTAGGGCCAGGGATCCCAAGGCCAATACCCCACGAAGCCCACACTGTCCCTGTTGGCCCTGAGGCTACAGCCTGTGGTTCTAGCTTACCTGGTAAATCTTTGTTCCGGGTATAAAATGCCCTCACAAGGAGAGTGAGTCCGTGGGGCAGCCCCTGGCTCTCTCCACGACGCAGAGGCCTCTGTAGGGCCCAGCTGTGAGCTGGGGCTTCTTTGCCCCCGTTCCCGCCCCCCCACCCCCCCTCCAGTTTGCCCATAGCGAGGAGCTTTGCACTTTCTCCTCCTTCCCAACCCGGCTCTAAGTCTAAGACCTGATAAACTGTGAAATTACTAAGAAAGCTTCAGGGAGAGACCCCCTTCTCTGAAAAGTTGCATATGAACAGTGGGCGAAACCATAAATCCCAACCTCTAGTGGTGTTCCGTTGTTTTGTTTTGTTTTTGAGCATCAAGCAGATATTGAGTGGAGGCAGGGGTAGCAGGGGTGGGTATCACGGGCACAGGTCTTCCGGAGCCTCAGCAACGGCTGTTCCTAGACTTTAATAGACCTGATGGGCTTTGGTTGTTAAGTGATCTCAGGGCCTCAGCTTCACAGAGGATGTGGGTTCCCAGGAGCACAGGAGGGGACAGGCCTCATCCTCTCCTCTTTAATTTAGGGCCTACTTTTTTTTTCTTTTTTTTTTGCAGTAAGTGGGCCTCTCACTGTTGTGGCCTCTCCCACTGCGGAGCACAGGCTCTGGATGCGCAGGCTCAGCGGCCATGGCTCACGGGCCCAGCCGCTCCGCGGCATGTGGGATCCTCCCGGACCGGGGCACGAACCCGTGTCCCCTGCATCGGCAGGTGGACTCTCAACCACTGCGCCACCAGGGAAGCCCATAGGGCCTACTTTTATTTTGATTTGTGCCAGTTCGGGCTGCTTTATAACTGAGAGTGGTGGCAGGAAGCTCTCAGGGGCCCCTCTAAGTCCCCCAGGGCACCGTTCTCCCGTGTCCACGTGGTGGCGCTCAGGGCCCGGAGGAGCAACTTTGGTACCAGCTGCGAGGCGTCGCGGGGTGGAGTGTCGAGGGATCCTCGGACAGGACAGGACTGGTGTGAAACCTGGACCCCGTGGAGGCCCGGGACGGGAGCCTGTTCACAGGTCTGCACAGGCCGGCCTAAAACCCACCAAGCGTGTCAGATGAGGGTTCAAATGATCCAGTCCTGTTATTGGGGCCTGCGTGGGTGGGTCACCTTGTAGGGTGGGGACTTGGTTAGAAGACAGTTGGCTGGGAGACCCTGGGAGACGCTGCCTAGAAAGGGGTCGCCCCGTGGCAGTATCTTTAAAAAGTAGGAAAAGGGTTTTCTTAATCCCTCTGAGCCACTTTAGGTGCAGCCCTGCCCTGAGGCAGAGGGATGGTTGAAATGACCTGAGGGCCCTCCCTTATGGCCTGAGGATTCGATTGGATGAACCCCTGAATCCTGCAGGACGCCCCGCTTTCTGCCGACAGCCCGGAGCCCAGGAGCGACCCCAGGAGGAGTAGGAGTGGGGGCGGGGGCGGGGGCGGGGGCGGGGGGAAGCCGCCGGGCGCGCTCCTGCCTCGGGCGCTGGCCCTTTAAGGCCGGCGTCCCGGGAACAAAGGCCCGGCCTAAGCACCGGCCTGAGTCACTTCAGTTCCTCCGCCCGCGCCCTCCCCACCCGGCCCCTTCCCACCCGGGACTACCGGCGGCTCCGCGAGGTACGCCCCTTGCGCCCGGGGGTCTGCGGAGCGCGCGGGCGCGGTGGGCGCGGGTCTCTTCAGGCCCCTGTCGTCGTCTGACTCCTCCGGGCGTGGGCCGGGGGCTGGCGGCCGGGACCCCCGGCGCTGGGCCTCCCACTTTGGGCCTCAGTTTCCACATCCACAAACCGGGGAGATCCCTTTCTAGAGGCCGAGTGAGCGGGCTTCTCCCCAAAGCAAAGAGAATTCCGAGCCTCGGACTCTTCCCGTCTGAAGTGCGTCTTGCCGTGACCCCTGACCCTCTGTGTCTGTGTCTCAGGCCCCCACCCCCGCCCTGCACTGTTCCTCCAGGACAGCGGGGAGCCAAGCCTGAGACGAGCCCCTGCTGGAGATGCGCGCGCCCCTCAACCTGCCCACCCGCGGCAGCTGATAGCCTAGGCAGGGGCCTGCTGATAGGAAGTCCCGGCTCCGGGGTTCTGGGCGGCAAGAGGACCTGGGTTTGGAGATGGGGTGGGATGACACCACAGACCCCTCGCCGGGTCCCCCGAGTCGCCCCCCGCCTGGCCCTGCCCCAGCACAGCCATTTCCCTCCCTTTTCCTCGCCCTGCCCTCCGTCCTGCTCAGACTTCCCTGTTCCCGGGCTCTGGCTTGCTTGCCAAGTCCCAGCTCCCAAGGCTGGTGTGGATTCCATCCCTTGAAGTCATGGATTGCTCCATTGTTCTGCCAGACAATTATTTATCCCTTAATCCTTGCTGGCCTATATTTTTGTTTCTTGACAAAACTTGAGTTGGTTGGGAAAGGAATGCCTCTTTTAACAGAAAAGTAAACACAATTTTATATTGTTTATTGACCCTAAGGTCCGTGGGAACACCAGCTCCAACAGATCATTCTGCCCTTTCTTGGAAACAAGATTCCAGGGATGTTCTTCCAAAGGGGTAAGTAACTGTCCTACCAAAAAGCCACGGGATCCACTGCTCAGAGTGTTTAGGACCTGGAGCCCGAGGCAGGAGTGAGGGCGCTGTGGTTGGAAGGCCCAGAGGTGGGGATCTGCCGCAGCCCAGAGGGAACCACAGAAGTCACCGCAGGTACAAATCCTGCTCCTGCAACAAGCTGGCTGTGTGCCTGTTCCCATCACCAGGTTCCCTTTCTTATCTGCGAGATGAGGGAGGTGGGATAAATGATTTCTTGGCTCCCTCCCAACCCATATCGATCTAGGAGCGGGGAAGCCCCCTCTGCCTGTAGTCTCAGGGGCCGAGGACATGGCTTCCGAGAGGCAGAGGCCATGAGTCACTTACCCTCGGCAGCTCCAGGGCAGGGGTGACCCTCCAGTGAGTCATTCCTGTCAGCCCTGAGAAAAGCCATATGGCAGCTTCCCCGTGTATCAGCACAAACTCAGGGCATTAGACAAAATCGGCCCAGAGGGGCCGTGGGCTGTCGGCCCCTCTGTCAAAATGCCCGACTACCCAGAAAAACCACCTGAAAGGAGATAGTGAAGAGCCGGCCTTTGGAGGGCTGGTTTCACAAAAGGGAAGGGCAGATCCCAGCCCAGGAAGAGCGAGCGATTGGTTCAGATACATGGATTTGAGTGACCTACTGTGCCGATTTGCCTTTGATGAGGTGCCTGAGATCCCTGATTCTCTGTCAGGATTAAGTGTGAAAGGGTGCCCAGGTCTGTCATACTGCAGACATACGCGGACCCCAGAACACTGGGAATGATGGCAGTTCCCACTTACAGATTACAGACCTTGTGCCTGACACACAGCTAAACACGGGACGTAAGTCATCTTATCCAGTCCCCACACAGCCCTGTGAAGTTGGTGAGGGCATCCTTATCGTAGCTGAAAAAACAGAGCCTCAGAGAGCCTAAGTAACTTGTCTCACTGCACAGTTTTTATCCCAGTTCTCTATATGCCAGAGCCTCTAATTTTAACCCCTACTCTATGACCTCCCAGAAGTTGAAGATAGACTCCCTGCCTCCAAGGAGTTTAGGCTCTAAAGATAGACTTATGTGGCCTCAGATGAAAGAAGACCAAATGGACACTTGCTCAGAGGAGGTATAACACCCCTCCTGGGGTGGCACTTACGTTGGGCTTTCCTGAATCTACAGCGGGGCTGTGTCCTGAGCCCCTGCCCCACTGCGGCAGAAAGGGCCCTACACCCATAGTCAAAAGGCTTGAGTTCAGGGCTTCCCTGGTGGCGCAGTGCTTGAGAGTCCGCCTGCCGATGCAGGAGACGCGGG